CCCCCCCTGCCCCCTGTTCTCTGGCTGTTTGCCTTAGACTGGAGGGCAATTCTGAAAAACTGTTATATCCTCCTCATTGCCAAGAAGCCCTTCCCAGAGGAAGTGGGAAGCAGAAGAAGCTGCCACGCCCTGGGCCACTCTCCAGGATGGCCCTAGCTAACCTCATCTACCACCACCACCACCACCACCACCACCACCAGAACACTTGAGAAAATACCACTGCAGAGGATTGGAGAGGTTGCTCAGAGCTTACTTGGGGGAGTACAAGGAGTGATCATTCAGTGAGTGGCAGGCCTTACTACTTCCTCTTTTAGGGTCAATTTAATGTTAAGATGCCAGTTGTCTAAAGTAAAATAAACATCCTATATAATAATAGGGTAATATGCAAATTGACCCCAATAGCAGAACAACCAAGACCAACCAGTCACTATGATGTGCACTGACCACCAGGGGGTAGGCGCTCAATGCAGGGGTAGCTCCGCTCAGCCACAAGCAAGGCTTATGGCTGCAAGTGCAGCGGCGGTGGCGGGAGCCTCTTCCGCCTCCTCAGCAGCGTTAAGGATGTCTGACTGACAGCTTAGGCTCGCTCCCCGGCTCCCAGACTGCGAGAGGGCACAGGCCGGGCTGAAGGACCTCCTCCCCTACCAAGGGGAATTTTTGTGCATCAGGCCTCTAGTAAATTATATAAGACTAGGGGCCCAGTGCACAAAACTTGTGCACTGGCGGGGGGTTGTCCCTCAGCCCAACCTGTCCCCTCTCACATACTGAGAGCCTTCAGGGGATGTTCCACTGATGGCTTAGGCCCACTCCCTGCTCCCCTTGTGTGGAAGAGAAAGGGAAAGACAGAGAGAAACATCAAAGTGAGAGGAACACCTTGATTGGTTTCCTCCTGCATGAGCCCTGACCTGGGCTCAGGCCAGGGAGGAACCTGCAACCTAGGTACATGCCCTTGGTCAGAATTGAACCCAGATCATGCTGTGGGCAGGCCGAGGTATTATCCATTGAGCCAAACCGGCTAGGGCAGGACATGACATTCTTAACCCTCCAGCAGCAGACCTTCGTTTTTTTCTCCAGGAGTGAGGTGGAAAAACCCTAGATCACCTTTTTGAATTCTTATTACCCAAGTTACTAAGAATATTACCAGTAGCATACAGAGAGCTTAGCCAATGAGCAGTCAGAAAAGGTGTTTCCTCTGTAGTTCACACCAATCGCTGGCTCGGCCCCTGCCCAGGCCTAACGCCTCTGGCCGAGGTTAGGCCTGGCCAGGGGACCCCCAGCTCCCCGTGATCACCGGCTCCACCCCTGCTCCCCACAGTCGCCAGCTCCGCCCCTGCCCAGGCCTAACGCCTTGGGCCTAGGCTTTAGGCCTGGGCAGGGGCCCCCTCGGCTCCAATCGCAGGCTCAGCCCTGCCCAGGAGCCCCCGGCAGAGGCCCTTCCTAGGCTACTCAGGGCCTACACGGGGCCTACCTCGGAGTGACCTGGGTGCCGATGATGTTCCTAGACCCAGGCCACTGGGCGCCTATGTATGCATATTAATCACCACCTTTGTTGGGTTAATTTTCATACTCATCCAATTGGCTGGTGGGTGTAGTGGAGGGATGGTCAATTTGCATGTTTGTCTATTATTAGGTAAGATTTACTATAAAACAAAAATATTTTCCATTGATGTGGGCATTATAAATGCTTACTATGTACACACCAATAACTTTTAGAACACCAATATTTTTAAAAGAATAACTGAATGGGTCATATTTAATTTGTCCTTCTTGTTAGACAAAACTTCAGAACTGGCCAGTCTTTATTCCAGAGGAAATTTGTATGGTGAGCTAAAGAGTTATAAGCACAGTGATTCAAACCAAGCCTTGTAATGAGTATGGGCAAACTACAGAGGGGATTTTTGTTTGTTTTAAATATTCTCACTGGTATTTCATGAGTTGTGGTATGAACAACAGATAATGCTTATGACTTTAGTTTTACTGCTAATTGTCTCCTCCCCACTCACACATGGAATTTTCCATTTTGATCACTGCTACAACTTTTGAATGCTTTCTTTTCTGATATATGTATTTGGCTTTTTACGGAAGAATCTCTGATTGAGGAGGATAATTTGCGGCTCTGGCCAGGCTTCTTTGTGTAGCAGTGATTTTCTTTTGTACGTGTAGGTTTGACGAGAAGAGGGCAGTGCAGCAGCTGAGGGCATGTGGTGTCCTGGAAACCATCCGCATCAGTGCAGCAGGCTTCCCCTCACGGTGAGCTTGGCAGTTTTCAAATAGAAGGGATCCTAATGAGATAAACTCCTGCTTCTTTAAGCTGATGTGAGTTTCTTTTATAGGTGGACTTACCAAGAATTTTTCAGCCGCTACCGTGTCCTAATGAAGCAAAAAGATGTGCTGAGTGACAGAAAGCAAACGTGCAAGAATGTATTAGAGAACCTGATCCCAGTAAGAAAAATCTTCACTTATCTTTATCTGAACAGATTATTGCCAAAGGCCTTGTGATTGTAATCTGTGGAAGCCCTGGGAACATCCAAATGCCACTACTCCAAATTATTCAGGGCTGGGAGGATGAGGGGCACGCTGGCTTGGAGATCAAGGCTCGCTGTATTTAGCACGCTCGGGCCAACTGGGTGGCAAGGCCTGGACCCAGGCTTGAGTCACATTCTCTTTAGAGTTTTATCATTATCAATAAAAATTTACCTAGTATTTACTTATGGGAAATATCAGGCCAGATGCTGTGTGATTAAGAAAAAATAAGTCTTATCCTCAGGTAACACAATCTATCTCGGAAATTAATGCATTTTAAAGATAAGTATAATATAGTGTCTATCAAATGCTGAGTGAGTGAGACAGGAAATCAGCAAGGCAAAGCCACATCTGCCATGTAAAGGAGGAACAATTTTATGGAAGACCTGTGTTTTGAGTCGGACTGATAACATTGTATAAGAGTAGAAGGAGAATATTGTAATAGGAAGCATGGTGTGAAGAAGTAGGAAACCATAGTTTGCTCAGAAAACATTAATGTAGTTTCTTTGCAGTATAAGATTAGTCTGTGGGACAGTAAGGAAATGCCTAGGAAATGTAGGTTGGTGTTTGGTGAGTCTTGCATTCCAAACTAAGGTGTACTCAAACTTTAAATGCATCATTCCCCTGGAGGACTTGTTAAAACACAAACTGCTGGGCCCCACCCCCAGAATCTCTGACTCAGTAGGTCTGGGATGGGTCTGACAACCTGCATCTCTAAGAAGTTACCAGGTGATACTGATGCTGGTCTGAGGACTACACTTTGGGGCCCTCTAATCTTGGTCATGGAGAATTTAAGATTCATGAAAGATCTTAAAACGTATTTTTACTTGTTTGACACTACTTTAGATGGGTTATCTCACTCTGAGGCAGTCATAATTAACTAAATGGAATATCTTCTTTTTGTAATAATAACATTTTTCCCCTTTGGAAGAGGTAAGACCACTTTCTTAATAATGTGTAAAGAACTGGGAACTTTCTGAGTTTGGCCTGACTCCTTTCTAACCTGTGTTCAGATGGGACTGCAGAGCAGAAAGTGAGGACCGTCCTATGCCTCACACCTCACCCCACCCCCACTCCCCATCCAGACCTGGTTCAGGGCCTTGCAGGTTACAAATTGAGGAGTGCAGGCTGGTGTGGGGTGGAGTGGGGGAAGCTGCGATCAGGCCAGGAAAAGGAAAGGTAACCACTTTTTAGCTTTTTATATCTCCAGCTAGGCTTCCTATGTAAATTTTATTGATTAAAATTGAAATAATTTTAGATTTATGTGGAGATTTCTGATTTTATGTACAAGATAGGAGATTTTTGCTTACAGTGAAAAGTAATTTTCTGTTGCCCTGGCCAGTGTGGCTCAGCTGTTTGAGCATCGTCCTTGGCACCAAAGGGTCATCGGTTTGATTCCCAATCGGGGCACATGCTCAGGTTGCCATTTCGGTCCACAGTCTGGGTACATACTGGAGGCAACACATAGATGTTTGTTGTTGTTTTTCTCTCTCTCTCAAATGAATAAAAACATATCTTAAAAAATAATTTTCTGTTTTCACACAGATTATATTAGTGATGATTATAAATAAATTCCACTCTTGTATGAGAATAACCATTGCAGGCTTCCAAATAAGGTGGACCAGAGTGTAATGGACCAAAAATTGCATATATCTCTGTGTTTACTGCTCGGCTCTGCTTATTATCAAAAGTAAATGAACAGCCAAAACCGGTTTGGCTCAGTGGATAGAGCGTCGGCCTGCGGACTGAAAGGTCCCAGGTTCGATTCCGGTCAAGGGCATGTACCTGGGTTGCGGGCACATCCCCGGTGGGGGATGTGCAGGAGGCGACGGATCGATGGTTCTCTCTCATCGATGTTTCTGACTCTCTATCTCTCTCCCTTCCTCTCTGTAAAAAATCAATAAAATATATTTAAAAAAAAAAAAAGAAAGCAGGTCTATCCATGTTTCTGACTCTCTATCTCTCTCCCTTCCTCTCTGTAAAAAATCAATAAAATATATTTAAAAAAAAAAAAGTAAATGAACAATATAAGTGGTTATATTTTTGTAAAAGGAATTTTGAAATTTATACAAGTAATTTATAGGGTTTTATGTATTTATTTTCAGATGCAAAGATGTAACAAGAAACTTAACTGTCTTAATATGAGTGCACGAAGTTTTTTTTGTTTAATTTTTATTTTGTGTGCATTGCTTCCTGCCTTATTCTTTATACTGGTGTTTTTGTCCCTTCAGCTTTCACATGGAACACACAGCCCGATGTAATCCTTACAGCCTGAGTCAGTCAGAGGGAGTGTCAGCATCTCCATTTCCTTGAAATATTTAAAATACAAACAAGCAAATAATAGCTGCCTATAACCCACAGCCAAGGTTTTGGCCTCAGATAATAATTCCAGGTAGAATAATCTAGAAAATCACTCTTAAACTTCAGTTTTCCTTAAAATCCCTTCTATTTGCTCAACTTGCATAAGATCAAACATCTGGCTCCATTAGTTAATTGTGATGTAGCCCAAGTTTTAGCAATAGATTCATCCCTTTACTGATTCTGCTTTTAGATGTATTTTTTCTCTTTTACAGTTTTATTTATATGTTCATTATTTCAACTTCTGAATGTATAATTTCTTCCAAAAATAGGACAAGGACAAATACCAGTTTGGTAAGACAAAGATCTTTTTCCGTGCTGGTCAAGTGGCCTATCTAGAAAAATTGAGGGCAGACAAGCTGAGGGCTGCCTGCATTCGGATCCAGAAGACAATCCGAGGGTGGCTGCAGCGGAAGAAGTACCTGCGCATGCGGAAGGCAGCCGTCACTGTGCAGAGATATGTGCGAGGCTACCAGGCCCGATGGTAGGTCTCCTGGGGACCCCCCACTCTGGCTCACGGCTCCTAAGGATTGCACAGCTCATCTGATTCATTGTCCAAACCAGGACAGTTTTGAGTGGTCACCCAGTATGAAAAGGCAATACCTCACCTCTTCTTAGATTCAAGGAATAACAAATGAACTCATAAGACAGTACATTTGTTATTTTTAAATAGAAATCATTTGTTAAATAGAAAAAAATTTCACTTGCCCTTATAATTTATTCAGAATCATCTTCAAAATAATTACAAGTTATTGTGTGCTCGTGTCCTCAGTATCTTTTATTTTTTATATTTTTATATGGGCTTGAAGAAGTTATCTGTAAACTAAAACAGTCATGAATATGAGCTAGTTAATAGTGACTCCATTGAGAAGTTTTCAGGAGCAATAGACTGTGAAAGTCTTTCTAGAATTACACTTCAATGTGATTATGTATTAGGATAATTTTAATTTAGAAATATCAGTAGAAATGAATTAATGATAAAGAATTTATGCCCAGAAAGAGTTTGAAAAACATTGTACATTAGCAAAGGGTGGATTTAAGAAAGCTAGTGATGAGTAAGTATGAGATTACTGTGTGCAGCCAGTCTACTGTGCAAGAGGGACATAACCTGGGGTAATGAGCACTGTCCTAGAAAGAATGAACCTTTATGAGCTTCATTCTCTTTATTGTAAAATCAGGTAATATGGGACATCATGTCAGGAAGGCTTAAATAAAATAATGAATAAAAAATATTTGGGGGAACTATAAATTGCTATAATATAAGAAATATGAATGTTGATTTAATATTGTATATTACTAGAATAATACAGTGGAGGTACTACCTATGCCGAAGATGTTGGTTCTTTAAGCCTCTACAAAATATATTCCTGGGTTTTTCTGATTACTAACAAATACACCACTTCTTTCTTTGGTCAGCTATGCTAAGTTCCTGCGCAGAACTAAGGCAGCGACCATCATTCAGAAGTACTGGCGCATGTATGTAGTCCATAGGAAGTACAAAAGTAAACGAGCTGCCACTATTGTTCTTCAGTCTTATTTACGAGGCTACTTGGCCAGAAATAGGTATCGCAAGGTGAGTCATTATTTTCAACTTTATTTATTCCATTAATGTTAATCAAATTTCACATCTGTATACACAGAGGTTCCAATGGACACAGGAGGCATACGGAGACAACCCACAATTGAAGTATATTTTAAAATATTAAATAAGTGCATATATTTAATTAACAAGACAATGGAAAAAGAAAATTTGCCCCCTTTTTATCCCTCCTGACAATACAATGTGAAGAAATCTTAGTGTATTAGTTTCCTATAGAAGTCATCAACTTGGTGGCTTAAAACAATAGAAATTTATTTTCTCACAGTTCTAGAGGTCAAAATTCCACAGTCAGTATCAGCCAAAATCAGGGTGTTGGCAGGGCTGTACTCCCTCCTGAAGCTCTAGGGGAGAATCCATCCCTTGTTCTTCCAGCTTCTGATGGCTACCAGTATTTCTTGTGTTTGTGGCCATATCACTCCAATCTCTGCCTTTTTTTTTTTAATTAATCCTCACCTGAGGATATTTTTCCATTGGTTTTTTAGGAAGAATGGAAGAGAGAGGGAACGAGAGAAAAACATTGATATGAGAGGAACACATCAATTGGTTGACCAGGGCCCAGACTGGAG